GTCTTGATGGATCGTTGGTCAGGATGGTGGAATTAATAAGAATTGTCGGAAAAAATACGAGAGTAATATTTATGAAATAAGCAGAAATTTAGTACAGTTTGGTGCTTCTGGTGGGGCTAAGCTGGAAGAAAAGACTTTTTTAGTTTTACTGTCTCTCGATGTTTGATCAAGGTCGGGGATTTTGTTCCTATCTACCTATCTAATTCTGATTTTATGTATCTATCTACATATCTCATTCTGTTCATATCTACATATCTGTTGAAACTTGACTAATGCATGGAATAATAATACAACACAAAATGTACTTAGAACAAAATGTATTGAAACAAGAAAGTGTACACAATATTTACATATAGTCTTTTGTATATTCTTGGGAAGACCGTTCCTGGAAAATGTGTTGACTTAGTCGCAGTCGGGCGGAGTCTCTGGTTGAATCTCTTGATTCCTCCCTCTCTTCCCGGTACCAACCATATTTATATGGTCGGTACTCCACTATGCAAATTAGGTGGGTCCTACCACAACAATATCAGTCTATCATTTTATTGTGTTCATATCTATCCATCTATCATCTTAATATTTGAATTTATTCAATTCTCTCTATATCTCCATCTTTCTCTCTATATATACATTATTTTACATATATCTATGTGATTCATTTTATCTATCTATCTATCTCATTCTTTTCATATCTACATATCAATCAATTATTTCATTGCATTCATATCTATCTATCTATCTATCTATCTATCTATCTATCTATCTATATCATTCTGTTCTTATCTACATATCAGTCTATTATTTCTTTGTGTTAATATCTATCTATCTATCTATCTATCTATCTATCTATCTATCTATCATTTTGTTCATATCTATGCATCTATCATATTCATATTTGAATTTATTCAATTGTCTCTATGTCTCCATTATTCTCTCTGTATATACTTTTAATTTTATTTATATCGATGTGATTCATTTTACGTATCTATCTATCTATCTATCTATCTATTGATCTCATTTTGTTAATATCAGCCTATTCATATTGGAATCTATTCAACCTTTTCGATATATCTTTCCATCTTTCTCTTTATATATACAATATTCTATTCATATCTATGTATCTGTTTATTTATGCTTCTAGCCATCGATCAATTATTTTATTGTTCATATCTATTTATCTATCTCATTCGATTCTCATCTATCTGTCGAATTGTGTTTTTATGTATCTATCTAAATATTTAATTTTGTTCAAATATATCTATCTCATTCTGTTCTTATCTATCTATCTATCTATCTATCTATCTATCATTTTGTTCATATCTATGCATCTATCATATTCATATTTGAATTTATTCAACTCTCTCTATATCTCCATCTTTCTCTACATATATACATTATTTTATCCATATCTATGTGATTCTATCTATCTATCTATCTATCTATCTATCTATCTATCTATCTATCTATCTATCTATCTATCTATCCCAGTCTGGTCTTATCTATCTATCCCTCTATGTGTGTCTTCATCTCTCAGGTCATCCCATAAATTCTGTCCAAATTTTAACTTTTTGTTAAAATGAACGAAATTTAAAGAGTATTTTATAATGTCTAATGAAGCTGAACATTATTTTTATGTTTAGATGCATTTAAACTGATCAAATTTTATTTCAGAGAACAATAAAATTAAATTTTGTTTGATTAAAACACTGCCAACATGGAAGTACCCAAGAATCATTTGAGGCACATAATGCTTTATGAGTTTAAGAAAGGAAACTCAGCAGCCGAAGCGGCTAGAAACATTCACTCAGTTTCTGGAGAGGAATGTGTGAATGAAAGAACTTGCAGAAGATGGTTTGCAAAATTCAGAGGTGGAGATTTCACCCTTGAAGATGAAGATCGAACCGGACGTCCAGTTGAGTTTGATGAAAAGCTTCTTGAAGCAGCCCTTGAAGAAATTCGTGCTTTATCCGTTGAGGAATTGGCAGTGGTTCTCAGTTCAAACCATACAACTGTTCATCGTCATCTTCAACAACTTTGAAAAGTTCCTAAATTTGGAAAATGGGAGCCTCATGAATTGTCTGAAAACAACCTCAAATCCTGAGTTGACATCTGCTTTTCTCTCCATTCTCACCAACTTGTTTCACCTTTTTTGGATAGACTTGTGACTGGCGACGAAAAATGGATCTTTTTTTGAAATGTTAAGCGTCGTAGACAATGGCTTGGTAAAGGGGAATGACACTAGCCACAGCCGAGAAGGGAACTTCATGGGCAAAAGGTTCTTCTTTCAATCTGGTGGGATCGCCAAGGAATAATCCACTTTGAATTCTTACCACCTAATGCAACAATTAATGCTCACATATACTGTCAGCAATTAGAGCGTTTGAACCAAGCTTTGAGAAAAAAAAGACCTGCTCTAGTGAATCAAAAAGAGGTGATGTTTCATCAGGACAATGCGCGACCCCACACAGCAAGAATCACGTTACAAAAGATCCTGGTTGGGAGAAAATTCCTCATCCACATTATTCTCCCGATCTTGCTCCTTCAGACTACCATTGGTTTCGTAGCTTACAGAATCATTTGGAAGAAACAGCTTTTGTAACACAGGAAGAGGTTAAAACTGACATTTGTGAGTTCTTCGAATCAAAGCCAAAAGAATTTTACAGTAATGGAATTAGTAAGCTTGTTAATAGATGGAAGGAAGTCATAGATAATCAGGGAAAATACATTGTTGATTGAATCTGTAATTAAATGTAACATTTGATCACTTGTTTTCTTTATTCAAAATTCGGACAGAACTTATGGGATGACCTGCTATTTTAATCTGTTCTTTATCTATCTATCTATCTATCTATCTATCTATCTATCTATCTATCTATCTATCTATCTATCTATCTAATTCTGTTCATATCTGTTTCTCAACCTGTTCATATCTATCTATCTATCTATCTATCTATCTATCTATCTATCTAATTCTGTTCGTATCTTTTTCTCAACGTGTTCATATCTATCTATCTATCTATCTAATTCTGTTCATATCTTTTTCTCAACCTGTTCATATCTATCTATCTATCTATCTATCTATCTATCTATCTATTTAATTCTGTTCATATCTTTTTCTCAACCTGTTCATATCTATCTATCTATCTATCTATCTAATTCTGTTCATATCTTTTTCTCAACCTGTTCATATCTATCTATCTATCTATCTATCTAATTCTATCATATCTATTTATCTAATTCTGTTCATATCTCAATGTATCATATCTATCTATCTATTCATCTATCTATCTATCTATCTATCTATCTAATTCTGTTCATATCTTTTTCTCAACCTGTTCATATCTATCTATCTATCTATCTATCTATCTATCTATCTATCTATCTATCTAATTCTGTTCATATCTTTTTCTCAACCTGTTCATATCTATCTATGTATCTATCTATCTATCGATCTATCTAATTCTGTTCATATCTTTTTCTCAACCTGTTCATATCTATCTATCAATCTATCTATCTGTCTAATTTTGTTCATATCTTTTTCTCAACCTGTTCATATCTATCTATCTATCTATCTATCTATCTATCTATCTGATTCTGTTCATATCTTTTTCTCAACCTGTTCATATCTATCTATCTATCTATCTATCTATCTATCTAATTCTGTTCATATCCTTTTCTCAACCTGTTCATATCTATCTATCTATCTATCTATCTATCTATCTATCTATCTATCTATCTAATTCTGTTCATATCTTTTTCTCAACCTGTTCATATCTATCTATCTATCTATCTATCTATCTATGTATCTATCTATCTAATTCTGTTCATATCTTTTTCTCAACTTGTTCATATCTATCTATCTATCTATCTATGTAACACATTCAGCTCATATATCTCTCTCTATTTTTATAACCGCATATCAACCTATATAGAAATGCAATCAGAATTAAGTAATGAGAGTCATAGACACAGAGAAACATAAAAATAGTGTTTTCCCTGTTCTTCTGAGCAAACCTAGATATTTGTTGGCAGCGGACTTTATAAGTAAACAGACAAGAATGCAAAAAGACGAAAATAACAAAAAATATGTACCTTTTATTTCGATGTGGTTTTATCTCTGCATAGGTCTAAATAACTGGCAACGATATATATATATATATATATATATATATATATATATATATATATATATATATATATATATATAATAATGATTCAATATGATAATAATCCGTATGCAATTTCCAGGAGACCTCTACGTCAAAAGACAGAGCAAAATTATTATCAATTAAGGAATATCAAACACTTAAATTCCCACCGGTAATAATTTTAATTTCATGTGAGCTCTAAAAAACAGCTCTCAATCTTCAAGACTTACAAACAAATCACCTATATATCGTAGCCAATTACATATATATATATATATATATATATATATATATATATATATATATATATATAACGTTAGAATAATAAAATCTGTCTGATCAACATATATATTTAAACGTTTTTTTAGTGGATACCCATATTTAAGTAGACTCTCCGTTTATTTCTAAAAGAGTATATTTATTTATTTATGTCTACCTACCTGAATATTCGTGAAATCTTATGAAAGAAATATCTGAATATATATTAAATATTATATTAAATAAATATTGAACGCAGTGTCTACTCAAATATGAGTATCAACTAAAAATAACATTGAAGTAAATATATATATAAAAGTGAACATTGAAGTCAATATATATATATATATATATATATATATATATATATATATATATATATATATATATAAAGTGAACATTGAAGTCAACACTCAGAGGGAACAGGCTTTCATGCAGTCGCCTCTGAGTGTTGACTTCAATGTTCACTTTTGTATTCATATTTACATACGCTCTGTCTATGATATTGAGCACTTTATCCCATATATATATATATATATATATATATATATATATATATATATATGGGGCACCTCGACATGGTGTAATTTAAATTTAATGTTCATATCTCTTTTCTATCTCTCTTCTCTCTCTCTCTCTATCTACCTCTGTTCATCTATCTATCTATCTATCTATCTATCTATCTCAGCCATTTTAAATCTATTTTCAGTCTACGCTTGAAAATCAAGACATATATATATATATATATATATGTGTGTATGTGTGTGTTTAATGATTATATATATATATATATATATATATATATATATATATATATATATTTGTTGAAGTCGAGCTGTTACCGTAGGGTCACTCATGACGACAAGGTCGAGTAGGAGAGACCAGACTGAAATCCTCGAAGATCCCAACAACAGAAAAGGCAAAGATCTACACGATCTCCAAGACCAAACTGTCGAAAGAGTGTGTAGCGCCTGTCAGGCTGGCGTAATCAAGGTGGACCTTGACAGACCAATGCAGCCAGGTTTGCCAAATCTCACTTGCTTCAATCCACTTTGAGTTTTGAGGTAGGCACTTCTGGCCAAGTGTCTCTCCGTCGTGCAGAGTCTACACCAGTGAGCGAAATAAAGGGTTCAGTTCGACATTTTAACCACCTGAAGAAGGCCGGAGCGTATAGCGGCCGAAACGTTGTAATAAATATGGTGACAAAAATGAGGACAATAGTCCGAATAATGTAAATAGTGTGCATAATATTTCATCTCAGAAATATTGACAGATATAAATAATATATTTCTATGTATAAAAAAAATATATGTAAGGTATAATATCTTCAATATTTATATATTATATATAAATATATAATATATAACATAAATAAAATAATACTTATAAATAATAATTATAGATAATAAATAAATTAAATAATAATATAAATAAAAACCTCATCCTAGAAATTAGGCAGTCAGCATAATCTGTTCGATTAGATTTCTTAAAACTGGAGCGAATGATTTTAACAAATAATTTTAATTCCAGCAGAGTGTCTCATTGCGCATGCTCAGATGAACCTTTTCCGCTGACATGACGTGAAAAGAGTATATTGAATCAATTGCTAAGTCTGCAGCTAAGGAAATTGGTTCCTTATGTCTTCTTAGACAATTTTTCTCGCCAAGAATCTATCTTAGACAATCTACCATTCGTCCATGCTTTGAATATCGCTGCCACATATGGCTTGGTGCTCTTGCTATATATTTAGAGATTCCTGATAAAGTCCAAAAAAGAATCTGCACTTTTGCTAGTCCTGACCTGGCATCTCGTCTTCAGTCACTTTCTCATCGTCCTAACGTAGCTTCCCAGTGTCGTTTCTATAAATAATTCTATTGGAATTGTCCTGATGAACCTTTTTTTTACCATGGTGAATTTAAGCGTAGTACAAGATTGGTAACGTGCTCTAATCTTTTTACTGTTGAAATGGATAGATGTAACCGTAAGTTCTATGCTAATAGTTTCTTCTCTCGCACTTCTCGCTTGTGGAACTCTCTTCCGGTTTCTTGCTTCTAAGTCAACTTTGACCTTCAAAAATTAAAATGCTATGGTAATCCTTATCTTCAATCTTAATGCTTGTTGTTTTATTGCGGTCTCTTATTCTCTAACGCTCTGTCATTCTTTGCGTCTTAGTGGCTTTATTAGCTTGCTTGGGTTGAGATGATGAAAAAAAAAGATTAAATAAAAAAGCGGATTATTTTTTTTTAAGTCGATTAAACATGAATCTTAAAGTAATGACGTGGGAGCTAACTGTTGACATTATAAAGTATTACAGGCAGACGTCAGTAGCAGACATTTAGCACATGTTGCCTTAAAAGAAATAGGACTTTTACCAGTTTCTCTACAGAGGCACGCTAAGAGGTTTATTATTTTTTATGTTTCTTTTTATTGTTCTCTCGCCTCAATAGTATATTTTTCTGATATTCTCTAACACTCAGTGACTTCCTTGCGTCTTAGTGGCTTTATTGCCTTGCTTGTGCGAAATAATTAGAAAAAATGAAAAAAAAATTACGTTTGATGAATTATTATTTGTTATAGTGGAACACACCTATTCTATAGTTAATAGACTCTCCCACCTATAATAAATAAGAGTAGTAAGAGTAACGAGTGAAGTCGCTGAGGGGGTCAGTCAGTCAGTCGATGCCGGACGACAGTTAGTCGGATACTAAAGTATCAGCGACCACAACTAGATTTCTCTGCGTCATATCTATTATATGAAGTTCCTAACGTTTTGTACGTCGAACCTATTTTAGGACCGATTTAGTACAAATACAAGCCTCCACTGTGAAACCACTCCATAACATTATTATTATTATTATTATTATTATTATTATTAATTTCAACATTATACAATTTTCTATCGAGTTTCTTCCATACTCATCATTATGTAGCTATAAAATCCAGTAGAAAATTCAAGTGAACATAGCCTAATGACAAAAGGGACATTAGAAAATAGTTGACTTGCTGAAAATGTTGTTTACACTGAAAGTTCAGGGAGGTAAGAAAAATTGATTATGACTTCTTTTATTCAGCCCCTATGACGTGTACTTGACTAGTTTAAAAATATTCACAATAAGAGATTAACAACCATATCTATCTATCTATCTATCTATCTATCTATCTATCTATCTATCTATCTATCTATCTCAGTCTTTTCATTATCCATCTATCTATCTATCTATCTCTTCATTTTCATTATCTATCTATGTATCTATCTCTATCTATTCATTATCTATCTATCTATCTATCTATCTCATCTATCTATCTATCTATCTATCCATCTATCTATCTATCTATCTCAGTCTCTTCATTATTCATTCATGTATCTATCTCATCTCTTCATTATCTATCTATCTATCAGTCATCTATCTCATCATCTATCTATCTATGTATCTATCTCAGTCTCTTCATTATCTATCTATCTATCTATCTATCTATCTATCTATCTCATCTATCTTCATTATCTATCTATCTATATCTATCATTATCTATCTATCTATCTATCTATCTCAGTCATCTTCATTATCTATCTATCTCATCTATCATTATCTATCTATCTATCTATCTATCTATCTATCTATCTATCTATCTATCTATCCCAGTCTTTTTAAATCTATCCCATTATTTTCATATCAATCTTGCAAGATAACTAGCTCTTTTTTTCATATCTTATTATTTTTTCGGTTTGTTCATATCTATCTATCTATCTATCTATCTATCTATCTATCTATCTATCTATCTATCTATCTATCTCGGTTTGTCCATATCTATCTCTATATTCTTCCCCATTCTATTGAAAATACAATATGTAATTATTTCTCCAACATCCACCCGGGGGGGGAGGGTATTTCATTTACAATAACGTTTGATTAAAACGTTAAGCACTGAATGATAAGCGAGGACACAATGGTCTCTCAACTTCATATCTGACCAAAACAAAGAACTAAATAAGCGAAGCAATATTTGCAGATGAGGAAAAATCCTCACAAAGAAATAATTAGACATCTTTCAACTAATCGTCCGACAATAACTGCTTTCGAATAATAATTGTCTGTTAATATTAAATAATAAAAAAAAGGTCATTAATTCAAATGCCAAAATGATCAGCGTTTGGTAAAAATTAATCTTATTTTAATTACATTCTGTAGAAATCATTCGTTGAATTTGAAAAGATAATTAAAATGTCCTGGTCTATCGCATTAAGTAAAGAGATGTCAATATATATATATATATATATATATATATATATATATATATATATATATATATATATTCAACTTTGTTTAAACACCAATGAAAGGTCATTATTAAGGATGTTTGTATGTTTCAATATTTCAGAGCATTTTCCTTCTTTCTAACAAGAAGTTTAAATATAAATTGTCCAATGTTCATAAGCCATAATAAAATATATATTTTTACTTGTTTATTAACTCGTATAAATTAAAAATTGCGTATATATATATATATATATATATATTGACATCTCTTTACTTATATATATATATATATATATATAAAGTTAGATCTTACTTATTATAAAACGCAGATTGTGTGTGTGTGTGTGTCTGTACGTTTATATATTGGATCGGATTTCCTACATTTTTCAACCGATTTCAACAAAATTTCACAGGACTACGTAAAATTACCTTGCGGTGGTTCCGACAGCGCCAAAAATTGGAAAAACACAATTGTTTTTGCATGAAATCAATTTGAAAACACGATTAAGAGGCATTAATGAAAGGGGGACAACTCATATCGAGTTATACTGATTATAAAACCCAGGTTGGTTGTTTGTGTCTCTGTGTGTGTGTGTGTGTGTGTTCATTTATATATGGGGTCGGATTTCCTACATTTTTCAACCGATTTCAACAAAATTTAACTTTTTTTGGCAGGTAGTGTTTCTTATTGTCTTGCACACTTTAAAAATTCCATTTACAAGACAATTGTTTATAATAAAATTCTATTCAATTGATAGACTCATAACGATTGAAAACAATGTTTTTGTTTGAGTTTGGGTTTGACTAATTCCTAAAAAAATAAAACTAATTAAAACATGGGTGTCCGTCAACCTTAAACAATAATCTTTGTCAATTTTATTTTTCAGTCTTTATGATGGTCGATACTTAATCTATCTCTTACTGTTACATCCCTGGGCAACGCCGGGCTCTACTGCTAGTAGATAGATATAGATATTACACATAGACACACACACATATATATCTAATCGAGTGAAAGAACAGATGGGGTAAAAATCTACAGTTCGTAGCATTTATTTTTTAAAAAGTGCTCAATACAATGTAAACCAAATTATTATTGTAATATTTTTATTATAATAAATTACAATAAAAAACATTTTACATCGATACACAAACCTTTCATGTTTCGGTACTAAGATAGTACATCTTCAGGCGATGGTATTTAAAAAAAAAATTCATCTCTTTTCGTAAGTTAAAAGGGGGCATAAGGTCAGAATTAATCCACGAAAAGAGGTAAGGAGGTGATTTTAACTTTCCCTAATAAATGCTTTCTATCATTAGTTATCTACCATCTCCTGAAGAAGTCCCATCTTAGTACCGAAACATGAAAGCTGTGTAATGGCATCCTTTTTTAATTGTAATTTATAATAACACACACACACACACACACACACACACACACACACACACACACACACACACACACACACACACACACATATATATATATATATATATATATATATATATATATATATATATATATATATATATATATATATAGTTGGATAGTTGTGAGTTTAGAGCCTGGGTTTCACGCTTTAGCGATCGTTCGTCTGACGATCGTTAAAGCGTGAAACCCAGGGTCACAAACTCACATCTATCCAACCAAATATGTTACCTCTATCTCTGATATTGAGCGCTTTCTAATAAGTACCGCGTATATAATATATAAATAATTATACATATATATTTATTTTATTTATATTTACTTTTACACACACACACACACACACACACACACACACACACACACACACACACACATATATATATATATATATATATATATATATATATATATATATATATATATATATATATATATTGACTGAGAATCAAGGAGCTGGTAGAGAGTTCCACAAGCGAAAAGCGCTAAAGAAGAAACTGTTAACATAGAACTTACGGTTACATCTGGCCATTTTAACTCCAAAATGATAAGACCTTTCTGCCAATCTAGAACTGCGCTTAAATTAATCCAATCTAGGTACGATAGAAAAAAAAAGTTCATCAGAACAATTACAATGAACGTATTTATAGAAAAAAAACATAGGGAAACTACATTACAATGTCGGAAAAGTGACTAAAGACGAGATGCCAGGTCATGACCAGCAACATTGCAGATTCTTCTTTTGATTTTCTCGAGAATCTTTAAATATGCAGCAGGAGTACTCAACAATATGTGGCAGCAATTTTCAAATCATGGACAAATGGTAGATTTATAAATAAAAGATAGATTCTAGAGAGAAAAACTCTCCAGTACGACACAGTGGATCGACTTTCGTCGCGGCCGGCCTAGCAATTGATTGAATATAATTTTTCCAACTTGTGTCAGCAGAGAATTTTAGCCCGAGAAGGCAAAACGAGTCATTCTCCCGGAGGTAAGCATCAGCCCTGTTGATGGAAGGCAGGATTTCACGCGATTGGTAGAGAGAAGTTTCGTTTTGTAGGCGTTAAAATTAAGAAGCCATTACTTGCCCCAGTAAACAACAGACTGTAAATAGTTTTTGAAATCACCTACCAATTTGAACTTATCGAACTAATCAGGCTTACTATTAAGACAGGAGTAGATAGTTTTATTGTCTTATTTAGAATTGTATTCTGACAGGAAAGTTACCAAGTAGCTCGGATTTCCTTTATTCAAGCATTTACCACAGAGATCTTTCCCTTCCCTGCCCTCCATTAGAATGTCTGACGCACAACTTCTCGAGAGCATCTCTCTGCGGCTGCTTGGTCTCACGTTGACTGCTGACCTGAGATGGAATAAATACACTGAGTCAATTGCTTCGTCCACCACAAGGAAAGTTGGCTCCCTGAGCCGCGCCAGGAAATTTTTCTCCCCGGAATCGATCCTCCAGATTTATAAATCAACAATTCGCCCTTGCATGGAGTATTGCTGCCATATATGGTCTGGCGCCCCTTCTGTTTGCCTCGGGGTTCTTGATAGGCTCCAGAGGCGGATATGCAATGTCGTTGGCCCTGATCTGGCATCTCGTCTACAGTCACTTTCTCACAGACGCACCGTCGCCTCCCTCTGTCTGTTCCACAAATACTTTCATGGAAATTGCTGCGAGGAGCTGCATTCGCTGGTTCCCAGACGTCATGAGTTCTAGCGCCTTACGAAGCTGGCATCCCGCTCTCACCCCTTCACTGTCGAAACTCCTAAATGTAGCCGTCTCTTCTACTTTAATAGCTTCATGTCTCGCACCTCTCGCCTGTGGAACTCACTTCCCTTCTCCTGTTTCCCTGTGAGCTATAATCTCCAGCTATTCAAGTGTAATGTCAATCGACATCTCTAGTTGCCTTGATCTATCCACTACCCTCATCCTTTCTTCTATCACTCCTATCTGATCTTGCTCTAAACTTTCTGTAACCCCTTGCGTCCTAGTGACTTCCCGCCTTGCTTGGGGTGAAATGCTTAAAAAAAATATATATATATATATATATATAAATATATATATATATATATATATATATATATATATATATATATAGGGTTTACAACTTTTTTTTTTTTTAAAAAAGAAGGTTTCTCAGAATAACCAACAAAAATGTTGGCTAGACTCGGGCCCAAGGGACTGCCCATTGCTAGACTCGGGCCCAAGGGACTGCCCATTGCTAGACTCGGGCCCAAGGGACTGCCCATTGCTAGACTCGGACTCAAGGAACTGCCCATTGAAACCCCATCGATTTGGGGGTACATAATCTCATCTCCCCACCCCGGAGCTAAGTGCGAAAAAAAATTGTTTGAAACTTAATTACTTGCATTGTTTCCAGTGTGTGGATGTTCCCGAATGTCTTTCTTCACTTCCTATACTCTAATTATCACTGGTGTAGCACGTAATATACAGCTAAAAAAAAGATCGTTCGCATTGGCTAAATGATCCTCTCTACGGTCTGATGACGATGAATTTCTTTTGCAAAAATGTTTTGCTGGTAATTTTCTTTTTTTTTTTCAGAAATGTAATCCTGGTAAATTATATTGTCGATCGGAAAAAAAGTGACAGGTTGTGCTCGACTTTCACAACCATTAGATTTATGTTGAAATCTAATTCCTTAAACTACATTAGGTCTATCGTTCTCAAGTTTTGTGGTTTCGTCTCGGCCGTTGCACCCTCCGGCAACGACAACAAAGATGAGAACAATGGTCCGAATACAAATACTACCATGTAAAACCTATCGATATAGGACCTTCTGTGTTTGTATTGCCAGCTCTGATAGCATCCCGATTATAAAGACAGTGTTTCAGTGTCAACTTCAAATGCCAAAAAGTGACCCAGAGAACTAATTGGGCAGACTGCATTATCCCCGACAAGTCCGTCATATATGTGAATCTATCTATCTATCTATCTATCTATCTATCTATCTATCTATCTATCTATCTATCTCACTTTCTTCATTATCTATCTATCTATCTTTCTATCTATCTATCTATCATTTTGTTCATATCTATCTATCTATCTATCTATCTATCTATCTATCTATCTATTTATCTCAGCCATTTTAAATCTAGTTCAACCTTTTGGTATCAATTAATCTCGCTATATAGCTATGTCTTTGTTCATATCTAATTACTTTTTCGGCCTGTTCATATCTATATATGTTCATATCTATATATGTTTATATCTATCTATCTATCTATCTATCTATCTATCTATCTATTTATCTATCCCAGTCTTTTCAAATCTATCCCAGTCTTTTCATACCAATCTCGCAAGATAGCTAGCTCTTTTTTTCATATCTAATTATTTTTTCAGTTTTTTCATATCTATCTATCTATAGCACAACGACGGGCTACTAAAATAAAACTTATTATTGATACTTCACTTTAAATTATATCATAGTGTTTTGACCCCAGTTTGGGGGTGGGTAACTATTTGCCCACAGTTAGGACCCTAACAGGTGTTACCACCCTAGGTCAGGGTGGACCTCGGTACAACAACAATTAAGAAGTGGTTCCACGTTCCTCAAAAACCTCCCGATCAAAAACCTTGCTGTCAGATGTAGTTTATTGCCATACCTGGGACGCCAGAATACTACATTAACAGAGGAAATAAACTTATATCTTGACAAAAAATATGTATTTTTAATATTTTTAAAAAAAAATTTCTATCAGTAAAGTTTATTCCGAATTGAGATACGTCGTTTAAAACCTCGCATTTATTTCTGAACATGATAACTGTTGTGGATTCCGGGAATTGAATCCTGCACAAATAAATAAACAACGCCTGTAATTGAGATAGAAAAATAAGTGTATTAAACGTAAGAATACAGACTTGAAGTGAAGATTAGTAGTCCAGGAATGCGGGTTAGTAGGAAGTATATGTACAAGTCTCTGTAAGTAAAGCCGTAATCATCTCTTTCTCTCTGGACTCTTGTATAACTCTCTGAGAACACCCTGTGTCTGTCTCCGTATCTCTCAATCTGTCTCAACGTATCTCAACGTATCTCGACGTATCTCAGTATTTAATATCCCACCCACGAGGAATATATGTGGCTCAAGGCCGAGTTTAAAGTGGGTTTCTTCGAGCCCGTAGGCTCGGCCAAAAATATCCCCTTTGAACCAGCCTTGACTGGTTCAGGGCCTGTCTACCTCCCCGGACGAAACCTTGCCCTTCGGCAAAGCATCGTCCGGATTCCTCTCTGCCATAGCAGAGAGTTCGACAGATGTCGAGACTGTATCTCGACGTATCTCAGTATTTAATATTCCACCCACGAGAAATATATGTGGCACAAGTCCGAGTTTAAAGTGGGTTTCTCCGAGCCCGTAGGCTCGGCCAAAAATATCCCCTTTGAACCGGCCTAGACCGGTTCAGGGCCTGTCTACCTCCCCGGACGAAACCTTTTCTTTCGGCAAAGCTTCGTCCGGGTTCCTCTCTGATAAAGCAGAGAGTTCGACAGACGTCGAGACTCTATCTCAACGTTTCTCACAACAGGTAATTCTCTCTGTCAGTATAAGTATACATTGGACGAGTCAATCTTATGTAAAAAAGGGGAGAGCCCCACAACAATAACAATATATATATATATATATATATATATATATATATATATATATATATATATATACTTTAATCCATTTTCAAATGTTTGTATTTTAAACAAAAACTGATTTACTTCTTGCTACCAGTATTAATGACTCTGTTTCTTTTTTGTTTTACCCAGACAATACTACAATTATTCTACTCTTATGTAGTCTGTCTTCTTTCTTAAAAATACCTATGCCTTTTAAAGTTTCATCATCACGTTTTATCTCGCTTTTCCTCATGCATTTTTCGTGCGAGATCCCTATTTTTAAGTGCCATGTCTTTTCTCACCAGATTTCATTTCTTTAATCTGTGAATGGCATGACTTTTTGGAAAAGAAGATGCTTTCTTCATCCTTTTTTAATTATCATCATCTCAGCCGAGATTGAACTCACTAATACTTTTTGATTGGTGTAGTTCATAATCTTGTCAAATAGCTGAATTCTTGATGCTTCGCTAGGGCTATCAAGGGTGTTTTTATCGTGACACCATCACTAAATGGATTGCCAACCAAGGCTCAGAGAGACTCTATTCACCCTCATCTAACAGCAGGTTTTGAATTCAGAGTTTTCCTTCTCCTAGAGGAGTTGCCATCCAAGGCTATAGAACCCAGTCTGTCCTGCTATTTACCCATAGCTGGAGGGAGAAGAAAGAGGATTCACACCTTTCCCAAGGGTGTTAGCACGTAAGTGAATGTAATGGATTCGACTGGAATTCGAACTCGGCTCTCTGATTCCTCAATCCAAGCCGCTATCCATTACTCCATTGTGCCTCCTTTTTTAAATTAAGAGTAGTTCTACCTCTAGAAGACAATCAAAACCCCATGTATCTTGCTATTATTAGCTGGGGGCAAGAAGATATGGATTCGTGACTTTCCCGTGAGCATTTGTACAAAATTGTACTCAGCATACGACGCAGGGATTTGAACTCGACGCTCTGTGTCCAATTTCCGCGCTGGTAACCGTTTCGCTACCCCTACATCCGCGTTAGATAATTAGGTATTTATATTCTTACTGGTCTTGTTATTTCTATTATTGATCAAACGGTGGCATCTTTGCTTGGTCCTGAACCAATTTATATATTATTAAGTATTACTGACGGCTAACAGCTGTCTTGGACAATCCTCGCATCTGAGATGATTTGGCGAGCGATACAAGCCCCTCACCCTAGTCGGTAGGGAAGGGGGTAATTTAACTACTCCGCGTACTTGCGCTGCTGGGGGTAGCTATTTGTTGGTTTCCATCCAATACAGGCTTATTCCCCGCCGACTCCAGTTCCGCCCGCTTTGTTGGCTCCTCCGTCGGCGTGATTCTGTAAGAACTTAAACCGAAGTTTATTTCTTCTGCCAATGATGTCTCTCTGATTATGAGATTTTCTTAGTAGACGCATTTTGCTCGTGGTTCATCGTTTGCTAATTTCACATATATTTGAAGGTGTGATGTGGCCGAACAACCTTTAATTTTTTTATTTTTTATTTTATTTGGTAAAGCTCTTCGATTGTGCCAGGTCTGAGGTTAACGCTTCTTCTTCTTCTTCTTTTTCTCCTCCTCCTTCTTCTTCTTTTTCTTTTCCTTCTCCTCCTCCTCCTTCTTCTTCTTATTCTTCTTCTTCTTCTTCTTATTATTATTATTATTCTCCTCCTTCTTCTTCTTCTTATTATTATTATTCTCCTTCTTCTTCTCTTCCTTCTCCCCCTTCTTCTTCTCCTACTCTTCCTTCTTCTTCTTCTTCTTCTTCTTCTTCTTCTTCTTCTCCTCCTTCTTCTTCTTCTTCTTATTATTATTATTATTATTCTCCTCCTCCTTCTTCTTCTCCTCCTCCTACTCTTCCTTCTTCTTCTTCTTCTTCTTATTATTATTATTATACTTCTTCTTCTTCTCCTTTTTTTCTTCTCCTCTTCCTCCTCCCCCTTCTTCTTCTTCTTATTATTATTATTATCATTATTAGTAGCATAATTATTCTCCTCCTCCTTCTTTTTGTCCTCCTCCTCTTCCTTCTTCTTCTCCTCCTCCTTCTTCTTCTTCTCCTCCTCCTACTCTTCCTTCTTCTTCTTCTTCTTCTTATTATTATTATTATTCTGCTTCTTCTTCTCCTCTTCCTCCTCCTCCTCCCCTCCTTCTTCTATTATTATTCTCCTCCTCCTGTTTCTCCTTCTCCTCCTCCTTCTTCTTCTTTAAAAAATGGTAAAACGATTTTATATGGAATTATTGTGGGGTGTTGGTAGGATATAGAATAGCATCCGAACAAAAGGTGGAGCTAATAAGAAAAACTGGAAAACATTCGCATGGTAAGTGGGGGTCTTCAGGTCAGAATGAAAGACAAATTTATGCGTATGTATGTTAGAAAGTGCTCACTCCGAGTAGATCTCTGGGTTTTTTTTTCTATTAGTTCGTATAGAGCATTGTGCTACTATTGTTTTTGCGATGATCGATGTTATTGTGCATGAGCCTCGACTGAGGTTGATCATGAAGAATTGTGAAATCAGCGCACTTTCAATGCATTTCTTGTTGTTGTTGTTCTTCTATGTAACACGCCCCTTGAGGACATAAGTGATTATAGCTCTCAACATTTTTATATCCTGCAGGGTTCTTAGTGGTTTTTCTCCCTCTGTTAGAGCCACCTCCTCCCAATGTTCCGCTATTCATTGACACAAGCCCGCCAGGTAAGTGATTCATCTCTATTGCTCTGAATATGACCCGTAAGGGTTAAGTTGCCATTTTGTTTAAGACTTCTTTATTGCTTACTCACTCCGAACATGGAATTTTCTGTATCCGTCTACAGAATCACATTTATGCTGCTTCTTTTTTTGATTTTTTCCACATCCATGGAAAGATTGTCCAACTTAGACGGCCGTATAACAGGATGGACAACGCATAGCAATCCAGCACTTTTTTCTTTGTTTCTAACCAGTTTTTTATCTTTTCTCGGCACCTTGCTTAGCTTTTAGAATGCTTCTTTCGCTAACCAAATGCGTATTCCGACCTCAGTGTTGCATTTTTCCATCCTTTTTTAAATTGCTTCCCTGATATCTAAAATTCTGCATTTGCTTGTCATTTCAAAAAAAAAATGTTTATCAAAGAATAAAACGTGCTAATTCTAGAAAGAATAAAAAAAGGAAACTGAATCACTCATAGTCTTCCTACCTCATGTGTATTTCAGCAGTCTTTTCATAATTTTTCTTTCTGTTGCCATTCTCTTGAAGGCTTCATTATGCTTACTCTTCCACCCATAGAATTTTCAATATTCTTCCGTGAAATCACATTTCTGTTGCTTCTAGTTTTCTCCTCGTCCGCGGGGAAATTGTCCCACATTCAGTGCCATATAATATAGGAATCACAGCAATCCAAGATTTTTTTCTTTGTTTCTAACGAATTTTTATCGTTTCTCGGTACTTTGCCTAGATTTTGGAATGCTTCTTTCGCTAAGCCAATGCGTGTTCGGAACTCGGTGTTGCATTTTTCCATATTCTGCTAAAACGCTTTCCAAATATCTGAACTTCTTCATCTGCTTGATGTTTCTATTTGCAATTCGTAACTCGAATCTTGGGCTTTTTTTTCTGTTACTAATGAACATTCTTTCTTCGTAGTGAATTCTTTTCTCTTCTGACCAGACTGGAATGTCGTGGTCAATTGTGTTTCGGTGAACCAATGCGTTTAAAGTGTTGTTATGTAGTATATCTCTTCAGTGTTTATTATTTTTTTTATAGTCATTTTTTTTAAAAAGATCTCTAGATGTTTCGCCGATGTATATAATTAGCAATTTTGTACGATGTATTGTCCTATTCCTGCCTTGGTTTTATTGCTGTTATTACGTTTGATGATAATCCTATATATTATTGTTCTGGATGTTGTGTTGATGAATTCTGGATCAAGTAATTTTCAATGTTGACTTTTGCAGAGTTGGTGGGTAGAAATACGTGCCTAATTCTGTCAAGGTTGTTGCAATCTATATCTAGAATTCTCAAAATGTGTATGTATGTATGTATGTATATATGTATGCGTGTGATCGGATGTTGTTTCCGTATTTCCACAGTTTTCATCCGATTTCGATGATTTTTTTGTTTCATAGATAATTCTTCAGTGCCAGTTTTGAGTCAAAAATTGTTGGCGACAATGGCTCTCCACTACTTCCTGTCCATTATAAATCTCAGCAGAATTTTACAATTTACTGTCTGTTCTTAAATATATATCTTTCATAAAAAATATTAATAAAAATAAATAGTTTAAATTATTACAATATTATATTTATATCTATATAATATATATTACAATATTATATTTATATCTATATTGTATGTATAATTCTCAAAATGTGTGTGTATGTATGTGTGTGTGTGTGTTTGTGCGATCGGATGTTCTTTATGCGTTTCCATAGTTTTCATCCGAACTCTTCTGCGCGCGAGGCTGAAAATGATGATCAAAGGACTCAACGACTGAGAAGAAACACCTCTTCAACTGCTAGTGCGCGTGAGGCTGAAACAAGGTTGAAAACGTAAAAACGGCACTTTTCACGGTCACACCCCATTCAAATTGTTACCCCCCTCCCATTTGGGGATATGCCTCACTTGCACCCAAATGGTGTTACTAATATTGATTTTCAGTTCGGCTGACTTTAAACTTAAACTGCTCCAATTGAACGGCAAAAAATTCCCAGTAATAAAACACCCGATCGAAGATGAGTTAGACTTGTAGTTATTATTATTGGTGAATTTTTTTTCATTTTTATTCTGTAGATTTTGCAATTAGAGATATGTCTAAACGGGTTAGACGTCATGCCTAACATCCATATAGGAATGGAGATCTGACAAGGCGATTTAAGAATAGGATTCAACTTTTAAATTATGATATAATTATTATGACAGCCTAACATCCTAAGACTCGTTTACAGAAATAAAAAATGATATATGCGTAATGAGAATGAGATCGAGAGACAAAGGCCTCAAATATCGGCTGAGGCTGCATTGTCTTTACGTAATACTAATGATCATGGTAATAGTGAGAATAACCGTTTCCATACAGGAAACATTAGGCATTCATTGACCGAATAGATTGCGTTACTCTCATTTGTCATTTATAAAATATGTTTCTTAAAACATTTTTGTCTCTTAGGAGAATAGGCTGATGGAATTCACTAACTGCTGCCACTATTTCAAGTATGATTCTTTCAATATGTTTCATTCAATATGTTTCTTAAAACATTTTTGTTTTTTAGGAGAATAGGCTTCTGGAAATAACTAACTACTACCACTATTTCAATTATGATTCTTTCAATGTTTCATTCAATATATTTCTTAAAACATTTTTGTTTTTTAGGAGAATAGGCTTATGGAATTAACTAACTGCTGCCACTATTTCAATTATGATTCTTTCAATATGTTTCATTCAATATGTTTCTTAAAACATTTTTGTTTTTTAGGGGAATAGGCTTCTGGAATTCACTAACTGCTGCCACTATTTCAAGTGTGATTTTTTCAATATGTTTCATTCAATATGTTTCTTAAAACATTTTTGTTTTTCGGAGAATAGGCTTCTGGAAATAACTAACTGCTGGCAATATTTCAAGTATGATTCTTTCAATATGTTTCATTCAATATGTTTCTTAAAATATTTTTGTTTTTTAAGAGAATAGGCTTGTGGAATTCACTAACTGCTGGCACTATTTCAAGTATGATCTTTTCAATATGTTTCATTCAATACGTTTCTTAAAACATTTTTGTTTTTTAGGTGAATAGGATTCTGGAATTCACTTACTGCTGCCACTATTTCAAGTATGTTTCTTTCGAACCTGTATCCTATATTAAATGTCTTAAAATAATTCTCGGACTTTGTCCTTGTCATAATGCGTGACTTCATTTGTTTACATTTGCATACGCATCGAGCAGATATGAATGTACATGAGAAAATCATGGAGAATTAAAAACAGTAAAATCGAACTTTATAGCCGAAACGTTCCTCTGTGGCTCAACCGGTAAAAGCACGTTAGGCTATACGACGGTTCCGTATAGGATACAGGTTCAATTCCTATCGGAGGACGAAGATTTTTTATGAAAATTTCTCGGACATTCAGGCCGGTAAATGTTGTTAATACTGTTTATTATAAACAGATCATTTACTTAAATATTTGTATCTATAAAAAATGTATAAACATACAAAATGCCTTAAATAATTGTCGGACTTTGTCCATTTCATAATATATATAGTATGAAACGGACAAAGTCCGACAATTATTTAAGGTACTTTTTATTTATTTTATATATATATATATATATATATATATATATATATATATATATATATATATATATATATATATAGGATGTTCCAATAATTTTAAATGTGAATTAAGTTTAAGCGTACAATGATTTTTTTTTCTTTTTTTTTAAGAAAACTTAAGTCTTTGGCGATTTTAACTATGGAAAGATTAACAATTAAACAACGTGTTAAAGTTATCAAAGTCTATTACGAAAATGGATGTTCAAACAGAAATGCAATGGGAAGTTCCCAGGTTGCATCATGTCTCGAAACAGCGAAATCAATTGGCCACCACGATCGTGCGACTTGACGCCTATAGATTTCTTCCTTTGGGGTCATCTCAAAAGTAAGGTCTATGCCAACAACAATTCAGCAGCTGAAGGATAAGATAATAAGATATATTGATAAGATCGAGGAGAATCTATGCAGAGACGTCATCAAAAATTTTCACCATCGAGTGGAGGTGTGCCGCCGAAAACTTGGGCAATATTATTTTTTATACATACTTACCATAATAAATAATTGCTTAAATAACATGATCCACTAAATAAATAAATAAATTTTCACTAATAACACTGATTTATTTACTCCTGACTTTGATCCGTCTTAATAAAAGCCTTGATATATATATATATATATATATATATATATATATATATATATATATATATATATACTCGACTCTCCTGTCGAATTCGACGTATGAGGGTCAAGCAGATCAGTTTCTAGAAACCGACAGCCCAACAACAGCACACGAGATTTGATTATAGTGGTGAAGGTTTCGTGCCGGACCATCCATACATTTTGAAGGGCCGAATACAGAGACCTGGTGCACTATGTGCCACAGGGTCCCCAAAACGACCCTCCGCAGGTTTTGAATTCAGAATTGTCCTTCTCCTTGACCAGTTGCCATCCAAGGCTATAGAACCCAGTCTGTCCTGACTTTGATCCGTCTTAATAAAAAGCCTTGATA